GAAAATAATTTATTAATATAAATATAATATTTAACAAAAAATATTTTCATTATCATTATAATATACTTATTTTTATATAGTATAAAACATAGCTTTCCTGTATATAGACACACTTTCTGACTAAAGCCAATGGAACAGTGCTTGGCCTGTGGGTGTGTATCTTCTCCCTGGGTGCATGAAGGTCTTAGTTTAATTTAATTAAGTCTTTCAGCCAAATTTAATTTCCTCTTTTGCCGATTAGATAAACCCACTTTGCTTAACTTAGTTACAGCAACTCTGGAAGCAGTGGAAAGTTTCCCACTGTTAGGGACTCTCATCTCCTTCCACCCTAACTTACTCCTGACTGAGCACACAATACCGTTCACTGGCTACATGTATCTGCAAACAGGCACATGGTATCCACCTACTCTAGTGTACCTGTGAGGAACTGTGTGCAGCTGATCCTGGATTGGTTCATCCCAACCTTATCATTGATGTCTGAGGCTGATGTCTGTTTGTTTATGTTGTAATGAAAGCAGCGCAGCCCACTCTTCACAGAGAAAAAGATTTGATATGATCTCTCCCGTCCTATTATGCTCGCCATTCTCATTGATTTAGAGTTCACATGCGTGTTTGAGCTACAAGGGTATGTATAATTGTTTGTCGGGTGTATTTTTGGTGAGCGTGTGGGTGATGAAGGTTGGCGAAATCCCTTCTTTTTAACTCACTGAAACCATGTTTCTTGTGTTTTGGGGTTTCCATGGTGACAGGCCACAAAAAACACACACACAAAAAAAAAAAAGTGTAAGTAGACAAGAAAGAAGCAAAGTGATGTGATGGAATTGCTGCAGAATCACAGGAAAAATTATGGAAGGTCTGAGAAATGGAAGTGCAGTACTGAGGTCTCTAAGGATGGGTTTGTGTCTCAATGAATTTCTTATTTCTGGAGGGCAGGGGACTGAAGAGAGTGTCATGCAGTTTGCAAATGGTCCAATTCTTTTTTGATTTATCAGACACATCATGAAAACAATGTAGCATTCTCTGGTGGCGAGATAAACGCTGGCTGCCATTTGTGAGGGATGCTCACGATTAGCTCGGCAAAGATATCTTTGTGGGGCGCGGTGTGAACACACGCTCGGAGATAATGTGTTTGCTCATTAGGGATGACTTCGAAAGTGTACTACAATTTTTTTTTAAATAAAACATGTCATTTTTGCTATATAGCTATGCTGAGAAGAAACAAAAGAGATCCTGCGCAACCCTCTGCAAACACTTTGGATGCCATGATGTAAAATACGTTATTTGTGTAGCTAGTAAATCTGAAAAACTTTGTTTTTAGAAAAAAAAAAATCTGAAGAGAATTGAGTTATGTTGGCCTGTGCAAAACTCGCAGCATTATTCTACATGAGGTCACGTGTTGCCAAGGTGATCTGGACAGTTTCTAGATTATTTTTATGATAATCTCCACTCCCGTATTC